CTGAGGGTTTGGGTTAGCAAGCAGCAGCGGCATTCCCACCCCACGGGGATAAAAGGGCGCTCCCCAGGGAACCTGGACTCTTGGGAGAGGGGCTGCTGAGGCTGTATGCGCAACCGGAGGCTCAGGCCCAACCTCAGGTTTGTTTCTCAAGTTCACTTCTAGGAAGAACTGAAGAGCTTCCTCTGCCCCGTAGCTCAGCTGCCCCTGCCCCTGCCCCTGCCCCTGCCACTGCCCCTGGCTGTGTGCAGGTGCTAATCCTCCACCCCCGTAGCCCCAGAGAGAAGGAAGGAGAGGCAGGCTGGAGATTTTCTTTCCCACTTTGGAAGGAAAGAAAACACACGCACGGGTTGACCTGTTGGGATCTGGTTCCTGAAACCTGAGCCAAGGCTAGACGTCTCACTGGACCGTCCACTGCACACTTGCCCAGGGGCTTTGTCTTCCACCTGGGCTGAAAGAGAACTCCCTGAGGACTGGGGTGGAAGCTGCTGTCTGTACCTTTAAAGGGGGCAGACGTCCCCAGTCAGTTCTGCCAAGCCCACCTTCAGTCTCACCCTCACCCCTTGCCTGCACCCATGGGACCTTGCATTAGCATTTGCCTTTTGGAATTACATAAATTGGAGAAGGAGATACTCAATAAAATGAATAATTCCAGAAAAGAGGGGGTGGGGGTGTTGGTCATTGGTGGAGCTCGGCATGCTCAAGGCCTTGGTTCAATCCCCAGCATAATAAATAAGTAAATAAAAGTGATGTTCTGTGCAGTGGTGGCCACACTGCTGTGGGAGGCTGAGGCAGGAAGATTGCAAGTTCAAAGCAACAGTGAGGTGCTTAGCAACTCAGTGAGACCCTGTCTCTAAATAAAATATAAAATAGGGCTGGGGATGTGGCTCAGAGGTCAAGTGTCCCTGAGTTCAATCTGAAAGAAAGAGAGAGAGAAAGAGAGAGAGAGAGAGAGAGAGAGAGAAAGAAAAAGAGAAAGAAAGAAAGGTAGTCCTGAGGGTGAAACTGGAGTGCCCAGACCAGGTGCCCAGCCTTGCTTGGGGGGATCAGGGAAGTCTACCTGCAAGTAGTGTTATATGATACAGGAAGGAAAAATAGGAGGTGACCTGGAAGAGGCCTGGGGGAATATTGACAAAAGACAACAGATGTGGTTAGCAGTCCTGAAGATCCTCAGCTGAGGCAGAAGCAGGTAGGTCCCTCCCATAGTCTAGCCCCACCTCCCCACCCCAGCTAGGATCTGAACCTTAAGGCTTTCCCTCCCCAGGAAAGGCCCAAGTTGGCCTCCCTCCCACTCTTTTTTTTTTTAATATTATTTTTTTGTTGTAGGTGGTGGACACAATATCTTTATTTCATTGTTAGTGTGGTGCTGAGGATTGAACCCAGTGCCTCAATGCTAGGTGAGCACTCTACCACTGAGCCACAACCCCAGCCCCACACTCTTGGTTTCTATTTACACTTTTTTATTATGGAAAAATTCAAACATATCAACCAAAGTAGAGAAAAACTACACAATGAACAGCTCCGTGGACCATCACCCAGCTTCAACCATCAGACACTCGTGACCAATCTTGTTCCATCTATACTCCCGGTCTGAACATTTTAAAGCAAATTCCCTAATCCAATTTTCTCCATAAATATTTCAGGATTTATGTCTAAAAGATAAGCATTCTTTTATAAATAGACCCATCATCACACTAAAAAGGAATTAACAAAAACGCCTTAATACCATCTGCTGTCTTCCCCTCATCCATACTTGGTTTTATAAGTCATGGTCCTGCTTACGAAGGTAGGGTTAGGGTTAGGAGACTATGTGACATTTACTGCTCCTGTGACAATACATGACTGCATAGCCACTCATCTGTCACTCCTCTCTGGTAGTTCTATGTGTATGTGTTTTGTGACTCTGGGCCATAAATTCTTCAGAGTAAGGTTTGGCACCATTGCCCTTTTGTACCCCGGTGTCACACATCTTAGTCAGGCAGGCCATTTATTGGGGCGGTTATTAAAACTCCCTGAGAATTATTTTCTTCATCTGTGTAATGGGAGTAAAAATACCCATCTCCCAAGACTTGTGAGGCTTAAAGAAAAAAGGATGAATGCGCTTAACAGGTAGAAGGTTCTCGGTAAATGCTCAACTTGCTGCTCTTCCTCAGATCCAGTGAGACTGCGTCACATTCTCTGGCTCCACTATCTTCCGGTTCCTCATTGCAGCAGATCTCAGGAGAGAGGGCTGCTGCAGTCAGTCCAGCAGTCTGGAGCTGCCCCACCGTTCTGAGGCTGTGGCACTGGTGATCCCCAACCTAAGCACCAGGCTTTGTTCATTTGCTGTGGACACTGAGGAACAGGTGTGGCCTGCAAAACCTCCAGGGAACTGAGGGAAGGGAGGGCTAGAAGGAGCAGAGATTGCTTTTGGCTCACTTGGCCAATTTCTGAGTTAATTGACCTAACTGAATCCATGGTTCGTAGCTGCCATTTATTGTTTATTATATGCCAGCCTCTGTGCTAAGAGCTTTCTGTTATCATCTCTCAGTTTTCATAACAGTCCCATGAGGTGGATGCTATTATTCTCAAGAAACACTGGGAACAAATAAAAAAAGAGAGACACTCGTAGTCACATCAGGTTTCTCTGATATTTAAATCTAAGTCCTTGACCCCACACTCACTATTTTGCTAATGGTGTTAAAGAAGTCACTTTTTTATGGTTCATTCCCATTCACCCAGATTTGCAGATGTGACTTCTGCCCGCTGTTCAGCATACATCCTGAACTCCAGCCAGCCTTTACACCAGTGAATGCCCTTGAACTGTGTACGAGTATGAGGATCAGAACAGCCTAACTCCATGATCCTGAAGGCAGTTCCTTTTTTTTTCAGTTGTTAATGGATCTTTATTTTATTCATTTATTTATAATTGGTGCTGAGATTCAAACCCAGTGCCTCACGCATGGTAGGCAAGTGCTCTGCCACTAAGCCACGACCCCCACCCCTTGAAGGCAGCTCCTTAACCTGAGGACACACACACACACACATTCACCACCCTTTATTCCTTTATTCCCTGGCTCTGTCTGCAGGATCAAGTGTGGAACTGGTAAGGGGGAGGGCAGCGGGGCAGGGGAGAGGAGGCAGGCCATGGTATTAACTGGCTGAGCAGAAAAGCTGGAGAATGAAAGTTCTAGGAGCACAAGAGTCACTTGCCTTCTCTGTGGCCTAAACATTGTACTTCATTACTAAGCACTGTTCTGTTCAGGGCTTGGAATATAGTTCAATAGTAGGGCGCTTGCCTAGCATGCACAAGGCACTGCGTTTGATCCCTAGTATTGTTTAAAAAAAAAAGAAAGAAAGAAAAGAAAAGAAAAAAGTTATCTTTGACCTTAGCCTCCAGAAGCCACTGGACACAAGGCAGCCATAGGCCCAGGGACTAGGGACTGCGAGTGAGAGAAGAGCAGAGCCAAACTCCAGAGAGAATGTTTGGGGACTAGGGCAGGAGTCACAGAGCTGCCAAAGTTTTGGTGGCATTTCATTTCTTTCTGTACATTTCCTGATAGCTGTCCTGAGACAGAAGGCCCTCGCAGTAAATCCTGTCATTTTTTTTTTCTATAAGTGATTTGGCATTTACTCTTCATTATCATACTGCATCAGGGGCAACCACCCTCCCAAGGGTAACAACCCGGACCCCCTGGCTTCCTACACTCTCCTCACTTCTTGGCAGAGCCTTAAACACTGGCCCAGTGGGTGGCAGGACAGAGACAGAGTCTCACCTCCTTCACTTATTTTACCTCTACCCCTTCTCTCCTCCTCCCTACTTTCTCATTCCTACTCTTGAGAAGTCAGGACCATGTCTCCCAGGGTACTCTGACAAGAAGTCAACACAATTGCATATCCAGCCAGACATTCCATGCAGACATTCCCAGTTTCTCTGTGGGAATGAATGTGACTTTGATGTTGCGTGCCTCGGTGTCCATAGAAGTAAAACAAAAGACAAGGATTGAAAATGAACTTTTTCCTGCAAGAATTCTCAAGTAATGGATACTGTGCAAGAGACGGAGCTGAGTAGAAGAAGAGAACTAGTGCAAAGTCTTAGCGCCCTTTTCCCCATGGACCAAGCAATCCCGTAAAGTCAGACTCAATTGGAGGCCACTTTTGTTTGTCCAAAGGAAACTCATATATGAAAGAAATGGTGAAGAAAAATAATTCCTCCATGCCAACGCAGGAAAACAGAAAGCAAGCCGTGCTTCATTTCATCCTAGATGTGGGTAGATGCTCCCAAACAGTCACTACTTTCTTTCCTCTGTTCTCTCCTGCATTCCTAGCAAAGCAACTTAATTAATTTATAAAGGGCTGAATGCCAAAAGGGGGGGAATGGTCCCTCAACAGGCTTCTCCAGAGAGTGGAAAATGGAAGGAAGGAAGGAAGGAAGGAAGGAAGACACAGCACCTCACCCTTCCTGGGAATAAAAGGGAAGCTTTCGGGTTAAGACATGTGCCAGCCCATAGATCCTGGCTTTGGGAAGCCCATCTTCCCCATCCCAAGCTTCTCTGAATAGTTTCTATGCTATGAGGAGCTCATAGGTCAGGGGAAAGATGACTCTTTGTTTCACAAGGAGGATTTAGCTTCTCTTCTTTGGTAGCTGGCAGGAAACTGCAAGCATTCTATTCTTGCGTCCCTCCTCCCTATAGGATGAGATGAACATGAAGGAGAAAACAGATGTCAGGGACCAGGATGAAGTCAACTGGACAACAAATACTTCAAGGACACCTCCCAGCTCCCTTTCTACTGGTAGCCCTGTTTGTTTTGTGAGAGGCTGTATTCCTGCAGCATACAACTTCTGCTTATACAACAGAAATTAGGGGTAGGAGATTCACACTGCTAGTCTAGTGATGATAGTTCCAAAGCATTTAATCCTTTGCCATTGAGAGCAGTTCCTCTGAGGAAAGATGCATCCTAGCCAAGGAGTCAGGGTTCCCAGCCCTCCCTCCTCCCTCTTCCCTCCAGGGTATGTCACTCACATCCATGGACATCTCCCTCTGAATAAGTTTCTTGGTCTCCTTTTCACAGAAGTTGAGCATGGCTTCCCGGTTGTATGCGCCCGTGGACTGTTTGTCCGTCAGGTTCCTCTGTCGCAGCCCCACGGGAATGCTCCCATCTGGGTCCACCACGTCTAGCTCTTTCTCCAGCTCCTCCATCTCCTCCGGGGACAGGGTGGACAGCAGACTGTCGATGTCAGGGTCTTCACTCACCTGCCGGCGATACTTGGCTACCTTCGACATATTGGCAAAGTGGGCTACGGCTCTTGCCGGGACTATGGGAATGCTGGTGGGCAGGGAAGGGTCAGGGGGGCAGATCTGGATGGAGCCAAGTGAGGCTTAGGAGCAAACCTCCAGCTGGTCAAGGACTGCAGCTCCTTGGCCCTGCCGAGCCACAGGTGCTCAGTGAACACAGCAGCCTCCCTGCAGCCCAGGGCTAGCGGACCCTGCCTGGTCTAACCAGTGGCCAATAAGACCCGGCAACTGCCTGCCCTGAAAGGAGAAGCCAATCCCCAAGCTGGGGGCGGGCCTGCCTCTCTGTCAGAGCTGTTTGAAACTTGAGGACATTCCAGGGAATCTTGGAGCGCTGCGTGACCAAATTTAGTACAGAGCAGTTTAGCCTTTTAAAGACAAGGGGGGCATGCAATGAGAAAGAGAGACAAAAATGCGGAGTCTGGAAGAAGCGGACCGCAGCCTGGAAAGCCAGAAAAGCAGGACGAGGACATGTGAGTTCAGGAACTGGCCAGCCCAAGGCATGCCCTGGTCAAACGCACTTTGCTTCTCTGTTGCCAGGTGGATGTTGCTGTGGCCAGTGTGTGGCTCATTGACTCCTTTCTACTGTATTTGGTAATGTGCGGGGGACACCCAAGTGTTTATAGCCCCAGGAAACACACTTGATTTTAACAGGAGCCATGCTACGCTCCACCTACTCATTCTCTTAAACCAGGGCGAAGCTGAATGCTAAGCATCACAGGCTGTGTCTGACCTCCAGAGAGAGGGCAGGGGTCAGTGTGGGTTGAGGGTGGAGGGCAGGAATAAGCCCCTTTCACAGTGCACCCAAACTGAAAACTGGAAGTCTGTTTGAGGAACAGCATGGGATCTACTGGACTCTGGAAACTCTTAAAGAGCTGTCAGTTTCCATGAGCCCCCAGGCTCTAGGGAAGAGGGTTCCACCCTGCGTCCATTCTCATCTTTCTTCCTCTGCTGGGGCATCTGTAGAAAGACCTCCTTGGGGAGCATTGAGGAGGAGCCAGCAGGTTGCCACCCACATATAAATCCAGAGCACAATTTAACATGTCTTCAGAGAAATACAATTCTGGGCCATTGGGAGAGATACTATTGCAATGGCTCTGGCATGTCGCATCAAAGGGCTTTCCACCACTCATCCATCATGCTGCCCTGCGCAACTCACAGACATTCAATCTCCTGCCCCCCTCCCTCCTGCCACAAAATCCCTTCTAGAAGCCCTGGTGTAAACCATCGGGGTAGATGCTTCGATCTTTCCTGGCATCTTTCCATCCTAAGCCAGAGAGAGACAGTCACTTGATCAGCGTTTGCTGAGTTCAGGGATCGTCTGGGACTAAAACTTGGCTGTGGCATTCATGCCCACTAGTCCAGCTTAGGCAAAAAAAGGTGCTGACTGGTGAGACTGGAGGACAAAAGTGTGGCAGGTAGATGGGAGAATGGAAAAGGACTAGAGAACCTTAGGGGTTTTCATGTAAGTGTCAGTAGTTAGGGGTTGGCCGTGATAAACATGTATTTACTGAGTGCCTATTATGTGACAGGTGACTGCTCTGAGAACAGGGAATGTAAATAAGGATGTAAATCAATTTGGTCCTTGTCCTTTGGGAGCCTAGGATCTACCAGTGAAGACAGTTATTAAACAAATAATCCTTAACTAATTAAAAGTCTGCAAAATGCCTCAAAAGAGAAGTACAGAGGCTATGGGAACACACAACCGAGGAGGCTGGACAGCAGTGTGGTTGCAGAGATACGAGCTTGCACTCTTCAGACAAACAGACCTGGTATTGCTGCTTTCTGGTCATATAACTTTGGGAAAATTTTCCTCTCCTCTGAGACTTAGCTTCTCCTGTCAGTAAAATAACAACTTCCCCCGCTCCTTGTAGGATTGTTATGGACACTAAATTGTCATATATATGAAAACATTTAGCTGATACAAGAGAAACATAGTATTTATTTATTTATTGTTTTGTTTTATTTTGTTTAGTACCAGGAATTGTCTGGTACATTGGTGCAGGGTTGCTTAACCATTGAGCCACATCCCCAGCCCTTTTTATATTTTATTTAGACACAGGGTCTTACTAAGTTGCTTAGGGCCTCACTAAGTTGCTGAGGCTGGCTTTGAACTGGAAATTCTCCTGCCTCAGCCTCCTGGGCTGCTCTGATTACAGGCATGTGCCACAGAGCCTAGCCAATTTGAAGTTTTAGAATTATTTATACTTATTCTTATCCTAGGTCCTTTTTGTTCAACCCACCTCTTCTTTCCTCTTTTCCTCCAGCAGTAACCACCCTCAGTACACACCCACATACACAGACATGCACACACATTTTCTCACTTAGTTCCCATTCATGCATTTAAGCATTTATTCAGATACTACTAAATATATATATCACCCTGCTAGGCACCATGGATAGAGGGATACAAAATAATTACAACACTCTTAAAAATGTATACATATTTCCCTTTGTTTTCTTTTTGCAGTACTGGGGATTGAACCCAGGCATGCTCTACTACTGAGCTAAATTCCCAGCCCTTTTTACTTTTTGAGACAGGGTGTTACTAAATTGTTGAGGCTGGCCTCAAACTTGCAATCTTCCTGCCTCAACCTCCCAAGTAGCTGGGATTACAGGCATGTGTCATTGTACCTGGCCAAAAATATATAATTTAATGGGGTAAAACAATAGTTATTCTGTAGGGAAAAAAAAAAAGCAAGAGATACTATTAGGAACTATTAGGAGTCCTAAAAAGGAAGATGCATTAATTTTAATTCATTCTCACTGTTACCTGGAAGAGGCATCATCTTCTGGGACCTCAGGCTGTGAAGCCCCCCTAGCCAACCTCTAATGCCCAATTAGCTGAGAGCAGCTCTTCAGCTTCCTGAGATTCTTCTCTCTCAGGCTTTTTGCCAGTAATGTTCATTGTTCCCTGAAGAGGAAGCAGGGACTGAATGCACATAACTATCTCAGTCCTGGGATCAGCCTCTGTACCATTTGGTTTCAGTGGCCTTCTCCCCCGAGCCTAGGTCCCTGTTCTAGAATACGCTAAAAAAAAAAAAACCTTCTAGACAGCTTCTAGACACAAGGGCAGAATCCATGGCTGAAGGATATGGAAAATAACATCCCCCAAGAAAAGGGGAATGACAGTCCCCAGGGAGAAGGGAGGACAATGGTGACAATGGGTCCCTGGAGAGAGAAGGTAAACATTTGGCCCTGGGTCCTGGACTTTCATCCCTTTCCAATGACACTGAGCCAGGGAGGAAGGAGGTAATCATTAGGCTCTGGGCTTTAGTCTTTCATCCTTTCCCAGCAACAGGTCCTGGAGGGGAAGGCAAACAAATGGACTCTGGGCTGTGGCTTTGGATTTTCATCCCAGTAACAGTGAGTTTCAAGCTTTTACAGCTGTTTCCCTGAGTTAGATTTTTAACCTACACAATGAGGAGCCCTGCGTGACCAAATTTAGTACAGAGCAGTTTAGCCTTTTAAAGACTGCCCAGCCAGCACGTCCCAAGTCTCTAATGATTAAGTCACACTAAACATTCTGTTAGGATTAACTCTCATTAAGACTTATAAAAACAGACCCCTCTTGTAAACAGTTGCCATTTTCTCCCCTGAAAATGTGCTGTCGCATCCATCCTTAATAAAGACTGCTTGCCGATCCACTTGAGGTCTGCTCCTGTTTCAGTTATTTTTGCTAACAATGGTCTCCTAACCAAAGGTGTCTACACATGAACCCCGGTAACTTCTCTGCCTCAGGTCCCATGGTTCCAAACAGCTGACATAACATTCTGAAGCTCTTGGATCCCTAGATTCCCAGGGATCCCTGAGACTGCTTTTAGACTCAGAATGTCTTCCTTTGAAAGGCACCACAGCTGGGACCTGTACAGCCTCCTCCAGGCCCTGCCACCAGGGGCCACACAGGTATGGTGGCCATGGTTGCCCAGGCTCAGAATCCTCTTCCATCTGAACAAATTCATCCTGGGGGTCAGGAGATTCTGGCTTAGCCTATTCCTCACAGAAAATTAAGCATGTTGTTGCTAGAGGTGTGGAGAGGGAAAAAAGAAGAAAGAGACTCTAAGTTCCAGTTGAACTATATGGTGGGGGCTGGGGATGTAGCTCACAGGTAATGCACTTGCCTAGTACATGTGAGGCCCTGAGTTCAATCCATGGGACTGCAAAAACAAACAAAAGGAAAAAAAATGTGGTGGGATGAGAGAGGGATAGTGAGGATCCAGACTCATTTAACTAAGGCTTAGGTGGCTCTCAATGGGACTGGAATTCCCCAGGAAAGTCACATCTTCTAGAATATAGGGTGGTAGTATAGTATAGTGGACAAGATCACAGGCTCTGGAGTCAAATTACATGGGTTCAAATATGAGTTGTGTAACCCTGGGTAGGTTATTTAACCTCTCTGAGGCCTAGGAAATGGAAAATTAGGATATTAAAAGTATTTACCTAATACTGTCTCATAGAGTTATGGAGATATTAAGTTAAATAAAATAACACATACAAAGTACTAACAGTAGCAGCATCAGGCATGAAGTAAGCACTCAACAATTCTTGCTACATAGTTCTTTCATACTTACATATGTGTTTACATATAAGGATATAGATATACAGATGGATAGATATGCTCTGATGTAAATAGCTAAAGCAGGGGCCAAAGTAAGTCACAAAAGAGAAATTTTTTCACTGGTTTCTCTCTCTCTTTCCTTTTTTTTTTTTTTGGTACTGGTGATTGAACCCAGTGACATCCCCAGCCCTTTTTTATTTTTTGAGACAGGGTCTCATTAAGTTACTGAGGGCCTTGCTAAATTGCTGAGGCTGACCTTGAACTTGTGAGTCTCCTGCTTCAGTCTCCAGAATCACTGGGATTACAGGTATGTTCCACCTCACCTGGTGACACCGGTTCTCTTTGGGGGTCGTGAGTAGTTTTTCTAGAAGGAAGCAGCAGTCTTTGTCTGGAAGCCAGCCACTTGGCTGGTCTAACACTCCTGATATGAGCAGAAATGTCGGAGGGGAGCTCTGAGATAACACAAGCCCTACTACAGGCTTCCTGAAAGGAGAACCAGGAGAGGAAAACTGGCTGAAAAGGGACAAGAGATTATTTTTCCCACCTTTACCTGGGCTAAGCTAAAACCCCTCTGCCCACCAGATTGGCCCTAGTCACAGACTAGAACCCCAAACCCAAGAACTGGCTGTGGCTTAGGTCTCACTTATCTGTGCCAAGCTAGTTTTTTGGTGACTTGACCAGGCAAGACTGGGGATGGGGCACATACCTGGCCTGGGTGTAGGTGGAACTCTTTAGGCCACAGTAGCTTCTGGTTCAACAGAACTCAATCTGTTGAGGCTCAGGAACCTCTAAGTCAACACAAGTACTGAGTGGTCAGGAGAGGCAGATTCTGAAAATGTCCATCCTACCAGTATCTGATCACAAAGGGTTCTAGAAAGAGTTCTATCTATACTTGAAAACTTCCAACAAAACTCACCTTGGTGTTTAGAATCACCAACTCCAACTCCCCCCACATTCATGATGGGTTTTCTCTCAAATACCTCCACTGCTTTCTTTTATCATCCCTTCTTATCACTATTTCTTCACCGAGGACCACTGAAATCCCTCAGGCTTAGAGATTAGAGTACCAAGATCTTTTATTCCAAAAGGTTTCTTGATTCAACACCCTGGAACCAAGGATATTTTTGAGGGAAAGGTGACATGTTCTTCAACAAAGCCTAAGTCCCAGGCTTTCCCAGGCAAAAATAATCCTGTTACCTGTTGCAGTTAAAAATGAACAAGCTGAGCCGGGCTCAGTGGCACACGCCTGTCATCCCAGTGGCAAGGGAGGCTGAGACAAGAGAATCATGAGTTCAAAGCCAGCCTTAGCAATGGTGAGGGACTAAGCAACTCTGTGAGACCCTGTCTCTAAATAATATACAAGAATAAGGCTGGGGATGTGGCTCAGTGGTGGAGTGCCCCTGAGTTCAATCCCAGGTACCATAAACAAAATAACAACAACAACAAAAAAAAACAACTGGGCCCAGTGGCGCCCTCCTGTAATCTCAGTGGTATGGGAGGCTGAGGCAGGAATATCGAGAGTTCAAAGCAACATCAGCAAAAGCAAGGCACTAAAAAACTCAGTGAGACCTGTTTCTAAATAAAATACAAAATAGGGCTGGGGATGTGGCCCAGTGACCAAGTGCCCCTGAGTTCAATCCCTGATACCCCACTACCACACACACACACACACACAAAAAAAAAAAGAACAAAGCTGGGCTGGGGGTGTAGCTCCGTGGTAGAGTACTTGCCTAGCATGGTGGTGATCCTGGGTTCGATTCCCAGCACTGGAAGAAAATGAAAGTAAAGAAAACAGAGAGGGAAAAGTCTAAGAGTGTTTACAAGTCACTTAAGGAGGGTCTCCCAGAACAGTAATTTCCTTTAGAGTAGGGATAGCTACTCTAAAGGAAATAGTCAGCTGGAAAAACCACAGGCTAGAATCTGGACTTCAGCTTTGTAAACTCTGAGCACCAGCATTGTGATGGTTAATCTTATGCCACAGGGTGTCCAGATTAAACATTGTTTGGGGGTATGTCTGTTAGGATGTTCCCTATGGGAAACAGCATTTGAATTGGTGGACTCTCAGGAGACTGTTCTTCCTGATGGGACTGGACATCATCCACTAAGAGCCTAAATAGAATCAGAGATCGAGGAGAAAACCTCCTTTCTTTTCCTGCCTTACTGCTGACCTGGGACACCTCATCTCATCTTCTCCTGCCTTCAAATTGGGATTTATACCATTGACTCCCCTGGTTCTTGGGCCTTTGGCTTTGGGTGAATCTATCCTGCCAGCTTTCTTGAGTCTTCATCTTACAAATGCAGATCATGAGACTTCTCATCTTCCATCATTGCATGACTCAGTTTCTCATTCTTTTTTATCATCTATCTCTCTATCTACTATTGGTTCTATATCTCTGGAGAACCTAGACTATTCCTGATGACTGAGTCAAAAGAACCAAGTTCAAAAGAAGCAGATGTAGAAACCAATATTAACTACCAGAAAGACAAGAATAGTTAAAAGCATGGGCCCAGGAATTAACTCCTATATGGAAATATATTCAGAAACCAAATCATAATTAGAAGATTGCATAATGAATAAGGAATAAGAAAAAAAACTATTAATTACTAATAAAAGGCCAAAATTTAAAAAAAAAAAAAGAGGTTGGAAGAGCTTGACTATTGAGACCAAGGAAGAGCAAAGATTTCTGTCAACTGTGAATTAACACCTCCTAATTGGTTGTGAACTATGAAGGTCTCAGCAACTACACATGGCTCCTTTAGGAAGCAAAGAAAAGAAACTTAGTCTCCCCCACTCCACCTGACTGTGAGGCCAGAAAAATTATCCTTGCCCCATGAGAGTGCCAATCTCTAGTCATTGAAATATTTATGTCTGGAGTGCTGATTAAATACTTGCTCTCTGAATTCCTCCTTCTAGGCTCATACTGTCCCTCTCCCTTATTCTCTTCAGCTTATAGAATAAATTAGATTTAAGTATGCCTAATGACATTCACACAATCCAAACAGGCCTCCTTTGGAATGTATATATCCAAATCAGATGACTAGTCTGAACTGTTCTTCTCACATATAAGACATTGCTAATCTTTAGTTCTATTAAGGGTTTGATCCATCTGCTTAAGTTATTTCCAAGCCAATGGAGGGAACCTCACTTTTCATTGAAGTCTTCTATTTATTACGTTGACTTTTCCATGAAACAAAAAATGTATACATTTTAAAGTCAAAAGTACAGAACTCCTTCCATAGCCATCGCATGATTGGTTTTTGCTGACTGTTAGCTAAAACAATCTAATGGGTTCTCATCATTTTAGTTTCTTTTCTCAGGGATAAAATTTCTCATGCCTTTTTGTGATCATTAGTGGGGAGGCTCAGAAGAGGTTCTGGAGTCAAGACCCTCAAATCAAGGGTCCAGTTGGTCATGGCTTTTCAGCTGGCTCAAGCAGTTCAATTTCAGAAACATCTATTGAGCATCTATTACATTTCAGGCACTGTGATTATAAGGCAATGAGACAGCGTCTCCCCTAAAGGAGCTATGTGTAGCTGCTAAGAGATTCACAGTTCACAATGAATTAGATAGCATTAACTCACAGTTCACAGAAAAAGAAGAAGAAAGAGAAGGAAGTGGAGGAGGAGGAGGGAGAGGAAGAAGAGTAGAAGGAGAAGCAGCAGCAGCAGCATCAGAAGGGTCTGGTGGCTCATGCCTATAATCCCAGCGACGCAACTGGGGAGGCTGAGGCAGGAGGATCACAAGGATCACAAGGATCACAAGTAGGAGGTCAGTCTGGGCAACTTAGTGATACCCTGTATCAAAATAAAAAAAATTTAAAAGGATCAGGGATGCTGTTTAGGGGTAAAATGCTTGCCTAGCAAGTGCGCGGCCCTGGGTTCCATCCCCAGTATCTCAAAAGAAAAAGAAAAAAATAAAAAAGGAACCGTAAAGTATTTACGAAGCTTGATGAACACTAGCGGAATAATATCAGGTTTATCTCAGGCCACGGAACTTCAGTGACTGAGTAATTTGAACTCTGTCACTTGGCAGCTCTTCGCCTACACAACCCAGACCCACAGCCTTCGAGGACCTGGGCGGGGCTAGTCCCACTGAGCCGGGCCTGAGCCCCGCCCACGCACTGCCCCCAGGAGCCCCGATTGCCATTGGCTGCGAAGGGAAGCGGTGAACCAATCCCCGTAGACCGTAACGCCCTCCTCTCGGATCACTTCCGCCGCTGGGGTCAGTTTCCGCCCAGCTTGCCCGGCTTCGCCCGCGCGGCTGGAGTCAAGATGGAGGAGTATGCGAGAGAGCCTTGGTGAGCTTCATCTGCTGCCCTTGCTTTTCTTTACCCCTCTGCCCTCGGCCCTCGTTTTCCCCTGTTCAGTCTCCCGAGGTGCCAACCGAACCCAGGCGCAGCTCGTCGACGTGGGCTTGATAACCGCAGGCAGTGCGGACGTGAGCAGCCAGTTGGCTTCTCGGTCCTGTACTCCCCCACCCCAAGACTCCAGTGACCTTGCGGTGGATGGTGAGGAGATCGGTCCTGGCTTAGGCATGATGGAGCCTGGGAACCGGTTCGCCCCCCGAGGCTGAGAGCGTCGACTTTGTGCGGGGTCAGCAGTAATCCTCTCTGCCCGCTGACCCACTGAGGTGACCTTGGACGCTTCCCGACGCCTTGTTTTGCTCAGTGCCTGCATGGAAGAAGGGAAAAATCGACCTCTGAGCGAGTGCCATTCTTTTTTCTGTTTTGGTACTGAGAATTGAACCCAGGGCGCTTTACCACTGAACTGTAGTACAACCCAATCCTTTTTATTTTTTATTTTTTGTTTTGAGACAGGGTCTCGCTAAGTTGTTGAGGGGCTCACTAAGTTCCCCGAGGCCGGTCTCGAGCTTGGCGATCCTCCTGTCTCAGCCTCCCGAATCGCTGGGATTACAGGCGTGCACCACCACGCCCTCTGGAAGTGCCATTCTTGAGTCCTTATTTGTATCGTGACGTGTCCACAAGGTGAAGCATATCAAATGAGTGGAACATAGATTTCAACCACGGGGTCTGGATAAGCTCTCATTAGGCCAGAGCATCGTTTTCCTGCTTGGAATTCTCTCTTGAGGAAGAAGGAAAGCAAAAAAATATCTGGGAAGTAGAAAAAGATGGTTGGATGTTCTCTAAAAAGCCATAAACAGAAATTCATTCATTCACCTTTTATTGAGTGAAAACTCTGTATTTAGCAATTGGTTATATTTTTTTAAAAAGGATGAATAAGTTAAGCACATAAATAGATCATTGTAAAATTATGTAGTACCTGTTAGAGGTCTCAGGTTATCCGAGCTTAAAGATTTTGAGGTCATAAGTGAAAAATTATATCTTGATATTTGGGTTAATCGCGCGGGGCGTGTGTGTGTGTGTGTGTGTATGTATGTGTGTGTAAGAACAAGAACCAAAGTATCCTCAAGTTGTGAAAGTGCCTAGGAGTTTAAATTATTACCTTGCTAGCAATAACCCTGTTACCTTATTTAAGCACTGCCTGGCTCCTCACTTACCTCATCTATCCCCCTTTGTGTATTGTGCTTCTATATGCAGAGCTCAGCACATTGTAAATTGCTGTTGGATATGGTTGGGGACAGGTAAAGTAATTTCCTTGAGTTAATCATCTTATAAAAATAATGATATTCAGGGCTGTGGGTGTGGCTCTGTGGTAGAGCACTTGCCTACCATGCAATATAGTCCTGAAGCAACCTTTCAAGTCATCCAATCTTAAATTATTAGCATTTTTTTCCTCCCTCAACTGCCCACCTTCCACATGTGCAGTATGAATTCTTTCAAAATTTCTGCCTTTCTTTCAATTTTTATTGTTATGATATTATTTGATGCCTTAAGACCTTTTACAATAACTTCCTAATTGCTTTCCTTATCTCCAGCACTGTCTAATATAGCATTTGGGCTTAATCATCATAGTTCTTTTTTCAAAAACTTTTAGGCTGCTAGGTGTGGTAGCACTAGCCTGTAATACCAGGGGCTAGGGAGGCAAGACAGGATGATTTTAAGTTTAAAGCCAGCCTCATCAATTTAGTGAGACCCTGTCTCAAAATTTAAAAAAATAAAAAGGACTGGGGATGTGGCTCATTGGTATAGTGCCCCTGAGTTTAATCCTCAGTACCAAAATCAAAACCAAACCAAACCTTTAGGCTAGTGGAAAGATAGGGGGGCTTTAGAGTACTGGATTTTGTACTCTAATTGGTTTTACTAATTGCTGCTTATATGATCTTAAACAAGTTACTTAATCTCTGTATGAACCTCTTTTTTAATCTGAGATGCAGAGGAGACAGCAATGTTCTTTTACGAAGTTAAATATTATGGATTCTAAAGGAAAAGAACTTAGCATTTTTGGAATTCATTGATTGTATTTGCATAAGTGGTTGCCTAAAATATGGATGATACTTTTAATCTTATTATTGTTAGTTACTGGTTCTATTTTAAATTTTTTTTTTAGTTAATGGACCTTTATTTATTTATATGTGGTGCTGAGAATCGAACCCAGTGCCTCACACATGCTGGGCAAGCGCTCTACCACTGAACTAGGACTTCAGTCCATTTACTGGTTCTCTCTTGCCTGCGTTTACCTGATATTTATATTCTTGTGGAATGGGCTTTATCCTCTGCAGCCCATCACTTTGCTGTAGGAACATTTTTGATTTAGCCAGACAGTCACAAACTGTTTCCATCTTGCCTTTGTTTCAGATATTCTCTTGTAATACTGTAACTGCTCTTTGATCTGAAGCCTGCTGTTTTTATCGGTTTTTTTTTTTTTCCTCTCTTTTAGTACTGGGGATTGAACTCTGGGGTGCTTTACCATTGAGCTATCCTCAGTCCTTTTTTTATTTTTTATTTTGAGATAGGGTCTTGCTGACTTGTTTAGGGCCTCACTAAATTGCTGAGGCTGGCCTGAAACGTGTGATCTCCTGTCTCAGCGTCCCATATTGCTGGGATTATACGTGTCTGCCACCATGCCTGGCTTTATCCATTTTTTTAAATGCTGATTTATTTCAGCTTCAACTAATTGTAATGTTATGTAGGGTTAAAAAAAAACAATCTTGGACTTAGAAAGTGAATTTAACTACTCACAGACTTTAATAAGCCAGATTCTTAGAATAATAGTTCTATTCTAGTTATTAATCTCCAACCAGCAAGTATTTGAATTTATAAGTTTAAGAGCAGGTAGCTCATTGTAGTGCTTTTCCCTTGAGACTAGATAAAAGAAAATGAATTTAACTACTCATAGAATTTTATAAGCCAGGTTCTTAGAATAATAGTTCTGTTCTGCTTATCAAATTACTCAGATTTTAGTGTTGCATAAGTTAGGGTGCTACATTTGGAAGCTGGGTTACAAATTTAACCTCAAATTACTGTATATTATTCCAGTGTGTTAAAAGGATATGATGTAGACTACAGTTTCAAATGCTTAGTTAGATTCCATAAGCCTGGGGAGAACTGCACACTTTTAAAATTTGTTTTTGTCTGTAATTACTAAATCTTTATTCACTGAGTCTCAGCTTTGAAATTTATTGCAGCTGGAGAACTTAACCCTGATCTCTAAGAGACTGAATCAGCATTGTTTATTACAGCATAATTTCCCGAGTATTTGTTTATTTGCTTTTGCACAATGCCTGATTTACAATACATTTGGTAATTGTAAGTGAATGAATAAAGTCCTGTTAAAAATAGGGAATTAGGGGCTGGGGTTGTGGCTCAGCAGTAGAGCACTTGCCTAGCATGTGCGAGGCCCTGGGTTTGATCCTCAACACCACATAAAAATAAATAAATTAATTAAATAAAGCTATTGTGTTCAACTACAACTAGAAAATAAATATTTAAAAAAAATATGAAATTAATGCCAATTCTATTACTTCTAGCTTAGATGACTTGGGGTTGAATAGATATAGATATTATCAGTGTCCTTTATCTTTGTGTGTGTATATGTCTCTGTCTCTTTCTCTCTATATATACACACATAATTATTATTATTATTTGTACTGGGGATTGAACCCAAGTTGCTCTATGACTGAACTATATCCCCAGCCCTTTTTTTTTTTTTTTTGAGAGAGAGAGAATTTTTTTTTTTAATATTTATTTTTTGGTGGAGACAACATCTTTATTTTATTTTTTATGGGGTGCTGAGGATCGAACCCAGCGTCCCGCGCATGCCAGGCGAGCATGCTACCGCTTGAGCCACATCCTCAGCCCACCCCCCCAGCCCTTTCTTATTTTTTTATTTGAGATAGAGTCTTGCTACGTTGCCCAGGCTAGCCTTGAATTCATGGTCCTTCTGCCTCATCCTCATGAGTAGCCGGGATTACAGGTGTGGGCCACCATGCCTAACTACATTATATAAAATATATATATATACATACATATATATATTTTATAGACCACATGTTTGCTAATATCAGTGGATCCTGAATTGGAATCTGTTGTATCCCTTATTGTGTTAGCAAAGAAAGTTTTATGGCTTATGAATGAGAAATAAGGTCATTTTTTTTTCCTCCTCTGTTCTTAGCCCCTGGCGAATTGTGGATGACTGTGGTGGGGCCTTTACGATGGGTACCATAGGTGGTGGTATCTTTCAAGCAATCAAAGGTTTTCGAAATTCTCCAGTGGTAAGTAGGGGATTGGTCTTATATATCTTCCCTGGAAACTGGAGTTTGATAATATTTCTGGCATCCCCATCAGCAGGTTAGTAATGTCTTACACATCTAATGTGTAGTAATCTGGACCGATTCCTTTTGTTTTGTGATAGGGAGTAAACCACAGACTACGAGGGAGTTTGACAGCTATTAGAACCAGGGCTCCACAATTGGGAGGTAAGCAGTATTTTCCATTTGTACTCTAGTCTGTTTTTTTCTGTTAATTTGATGATGAAACTATTATATTTTTTTTGTTGTTAGTTTAGATTATGCCAGTGAGGATTTTAGTTTTAACATCTTGTCACAAACTAGGATCCCTATACGTTCTTGATTTATGTGTGGGAAAGTTAACTGAATTATATACTTGAGAATCTTGTGTCTATCCTTCAGATGTTCAGGGTTTAAAAATTTTTTTCCCTTTCCCTGCTCCAGGAAAAAAAAAAAAAAAAAGTGTGTTGGCGAGTCAGTAATAAATAGTTTCTGGAGTAATGTAAAGTTGAAGAGAATGTGATCTGAAGGGTTAGGATTTCATAAGAGAGAAACTGATCAAGCTGGTTGGGTTTTTCTCCAAGGTTCTCTTTTACTCATTGTGCAAGGATTGGTGCTTGCATTGTGCTTATAAAACTTGGTTATTCAGAAGCTGAGAAAAGGGAGATGAAAAAAATGGAAATTATATTCACATACAAAGATACAGCCAAGTGGAGACAACTGTTTTCTTAAGACATAAGAAAACTTTTTACTTGTCATTCCTTAGAAGTGAAAATTATAATGCAGGTGTAGTGGCATACACTTGTAATTTTAGCAACTTGGGAGACTGAGGCAGGAGGATCCCAAGTTTGAGCCCAGCCTCAGCAATTTAGCAAAACCCTCAGCAACTTAGACTGTATCTCAAAATAAAAAGTGCCAAGGAGGTGGCTCAGTGGAAGAACACCCCTGGGTTCAATATATAGTACCAAAAAAAGAAAGAAGGAAAAAATTTAGAGCTGAGGATGTAACTGGAGTGGCAAGTCATCCCTTGCCTAATGATCCACAGTACCACCAAAAATAAAAGATAAAGTGGGGCTGGGGATGTGGCTCAAGCGGTAGCACGCTTGCCTGGCATGCGTGCGGCCCGGGTTCAATCCTCAGCACCACATACAAACAAAGATGTTGTGTCTGCCGAAAACTAAAATGTAAATAAAATATTAAAAAAAAGAAAAGATAAAGTATTCTGACTTTTGTTCAGTATTTGTACATATTTGGAGTGTGAGAATTTCGCAAATGTGGTAAATGTTGTTTCAAATGAATAGTCTAAGGATTAAAAGAAATTTTTATTTGTTATTTGTTTGTTTTTACGATGAAATAGGTAGTTTTGCGGTTTGGGGAGGCCTGTTCTCTATGATTGACTGTAGTATGGTTCAAGTCAGAGGAAAAGAAGATCCCTGGAACTCCATCACTAGTGGTGCCTTAACAGGAGCTATACTGGCAGCAAGAAGTAAGCAATCATTATATACAGACTTTTTGGGAAGCCCTCTCCTGTCTTAATTTAGTGACATCTGTAAGATAAAAAGTGAACATTGCTTAATTTGATGTAGCATGAATATATGTGGTCATTTGAGGGGGAAAAAAAAAGTGTAAGGGTATGTATTTGGAATGTTTGAGGATATTACATGGAGTTCTAACCCGTGCATGAGAATGGTTAAGAGCACTACAGGTCCTGCTCAGGTCATTTATTACCTGTATGACCAGGCAGTCTGCCAAACTTTTTGTGCTATGATTTCATCATTACTCTAGAATTAATAATAGTACCTGCCACATTGAATAAAAAGCTTAAAAACAACTTCTGGATCTTTGAGACAGAGAGCAAACCAGAATTCCTTTGGACTTTGTGGTTTAGCCTAGGGGTGAGCAAACTTTTTTTTTGTAAAAGGCCAGATAGATAGTAATTATTTTAAGCTTTGTGGACTCTTGATCCTTGCCACAACGAATTAGCTCTGCTGTCATAGTGTGAAAGCATCCATAGCTAATGTATAAGTGAAAGAACATGGCTGTGTTCTAATACAACCTATTTTCAAAAGTAGGCAGTGGCCTGAATTAGACCTGTGGGCCATAGTTTGCTGACTGTGGGTCCTAGACATTGAGAAAGAGTTTGGGAATGGGAATGCCATACAGATAGCACTTTCGTTTAAAGTAATCTCTTTGTTATTGTCTTCAGATGGTCCAGTGGCCATGGTTGGGTCAGCTGCAATGGGTGGCATTCTCCTAGCTTTAATTGAAGGAGCTGGTATCTTGTTGACAAGATTTGCCTCTACACAGTTTCCCAATGGTGAGTCTTCTTTCTTCTTAATACCGTAGCTCTTTGGAATGGTTTCCTAAATTTTATTTTATTTTTTTAAAAAATGAGCTTTTTTTTTTTTTTTTTTTTTTAATGGTGCTGGGGATTGAACCCAGGGCCTTGTGTATTTGAGGTAAGCACTCCACCAATTGAGCTATATTCCCTGGTTTCCTAATGTTAAGAAAGAATATTTTGTCTGCTAAAATGGGATAGTTTGATTTCTACATTAGGTATTAACATGCTGAAGTTCATGAAGACTATGATAACAGGCTCAATTTCTAGTCAAAAAAGTGAACATGAACATAATCTAAGTTTGGTGATGTTTAGTTAACCACATTGACAAAAATTCTTTCGTTACTTAATTTGCTGTTGGTCTTTCTTTATGGGTCTTGGGTTTTATCGGTGCTTCTTTGCTTATTCTAAGAAATTTCTAGTCATTTTAGCTGGGCCCAGTGGTTCATGCCTGTAATACCAGCTATTTGGGAGGCTGAGGCAGGAGGATCACAAGTTCAAGGCGAGCCTCAGCAATTAGTGGGACCCTGTCTCAAAAAATAAAAAAAGGTCAGTCCCCAGCACTGCAAAAAAAATTCAAACAAACAAAAATAAAGTGTTGGGAATGTATCTTAGTGGTAGAACATCCTTGGGTTCAATCCCCAGTACCACAAAAAAAAAAAAGAAAGAAAGAAAAGACAGCCCTTACCTACTCTTGAAGACTTACATTCTCATGGGGTAATACATTAACAGTTCAATGGATTATTTAAAATAATATTGCTTGTTTTGAAGAAAATAAAATGTAGAGTAGTAGAAGGTAGCTTATATTTTGGAGGGTAGCGTTAGGATTGTAAGGAAAGTCTCTTTGAGAAATTGGTCATGTAATTTGTTGCTGATTGTTCCTCTTGTCTGATGCACAGGGAAAAAGTTAATTTGTGGATTCAGTGATCATTACATGGTCATGGAATATCTACTCAGTCATTAACTTGTACAGTTTATTAACTGTTAAAAATTTCAGGGTCAAAATGGAAATATTCCTTGATATTGGAAGGAAGCAGAGATATGAGGGTTGTGATAGTAAAAAACTTAACCTGGCATTTGGGGAAGGAAATGGGCAGAATAGTGTGACATGATGAAAATTATTTTTGGAGCTTGGAAAAGAATCAGCATAGAATCAGGAATAGATCATACCTCCAATTTGATTTGATTTCCCTGAAGCACTGAGGGAGAGATTAGTATCTTTTTGGCACAGTTTTTGAGAGCACTGCTCATTAGTTGCCAGTGGGATGATCTAGATGACCATCTCACTTTATGTTTCTGTTTTAACAGTCTATTATGATGGTCATGTTCTAATTTTGCTTTTTAGTTTTTTTGTGTGTAAAAGACTTCACATGAGGGCTGGGGTTGTGGCTCAGAGGTAGAGCGCTTGCCTGGCATGCGTGAGACACTGGGTTCGATCCTCAGCACCGCATAGAAATAAAACAAAGGTATGTGTCCACCTACAACTAAAAAAATAAGATTTAAAAAAAAAAAAAAAAGACTTCACATGAAACATCAGGAGAATTTGATATTTTCAGAAATTCAGAGATGGATATAACAAAAACTTAGATAGTTATGTTATCTTATAGATAGAGATTAGCCTTGGTTACTTTGCTTTAAGCTTTTTTCCTCAGAGGGAATCTCCTTTTGAGTAATCAAAATTCAGCATTTATGTAGAAGCAACCCAAAAGTGGCACATTTATTTTTAGACAAGAGATATGTTTTTAAAATGTTGTATAGGGGGAAGATCTTTGAGAAGTAATCATATTTTTCTAATTAACTTACACATCTTAGTAACTTGTGAGGATTGCAAGTATAAGGTCAGCTTGGGCAACTTTACAAGACCCTGGCTCAAAGTCAAAATTTTAAAAAGGTGGGGGGCCGAGGATTAACTCGGTGGTATAGAGCACTTGCCCGCCAGGCGCAAATCCCTGGCTGTTCAGCCCACAACACTGCAAAACAACAAAACCAAAAAAGAAAGTAAGTTCTTAAAATAATGAAATAGAGATTAGCTAGACCTGTATCTAAATGATAACAGTGATTATCTTTGATTTGTCTTTTCCATCCAGTGTCTTCTCAGGTTTTCTGATATGAACAGATATTGCTTTTATAGTGAAATAAAAATGTATCATTAGAGTAGAAGTATTTAGAAAGATTCGGGGAGTTTTACCATTTTACTTCTTTTTTCCCCCTAGATATGTTTTTGCCTGTTTCAGTTTCCCTAAAGTAAAAAAGATTGTTTATTCCTCTATAAATATTTTTTTGCGGGGGAGAGTGGTACCAGAGATTGAACTCAGGGCACTCGACCACTGAGCCACATCCCCAGCCCTATTTTGTATTTTATTTAGAGACAGGGTCTCACTGAATTGCTTAGACCCTCGCTTTTTGCTGAGGCTGGCTTTAAACTCTCAATCCTCTTGCCTCAGCCTCCTGAGCCTCTGGGATTATAGGCATGCGCCACTGTGTCACATTTTTTCTTAGTTCCCAGGGCCCCTCATCCTTTGAAAACTAAACTAAGACTTAGTTCTATAGCAAGCTAGGGGATATCTTCCTATTTCATTTATTCCATACTTAATTGGTTACATAAATTGGATTACTGAATTCTTTTAAAACATGGCTAAGTACTTAAACTTGGTGAAAATAATTCTGAGTGTATGTGTGTATGGTATTGGGGATTGAACCCAGGCTGCTTTACCACTGAGCTACATCCCCAGCCCTTTTTATTTTTTATTTTGAGACAGGGTCTTGTTAAGTTGCCCAGGCTGATCTCTTTTTTTTTTTTACACAAATGGAGCATAACTTTTCATTTCTTTGGTTGTACATAATTTAGAGTCACACCATTTGTGCAGTCATACCCGTATATAGGGTAATAATGCACATCTCATTCCACCATCTTTCTCTCCCAATATTCCCTCCCCTCTTCTCCCTTATGGATGAGCATCCACTTCTTAGAGAAAACATTTGGACTTTGGTTTTTTGGGATTGGCGCCCAGGCTGATCTTGAACTTGTGATCTTCCTGCCTCATCCTCCTGAATCTCTGGGATTATAGGCACGCATCACTGCTCCCAGTTGGTAAAAATGATTTTAAATAGCTACTGAAAAATGTGTGAAGAGGTGGGAGAGATTTTTCCAATATTGATACATGTCAGCTTGTTATTACAATTCCTTTAAAAACTTGAGTATTACCGGGCACAGTGGTGCATGCCTGTAGTCCCCAGTGGCTTGGGAGGCTGAGGCAGGAGGATCACAAGTTCAAAGCCAGCCTCAGCAAAAGCGAGGCTTAAAGCAACTCAGTGAGACCCTGTCTCTAAATAAAATACAAAATAGGGCTGGGGATGTGGCTCAGTGGTCAAGTGCCCCTGAGTTGAATCCCCGGTACCTTTACCTTCCCCAACCAAAATAAAACCTCAAGTATTGCTTTTTGCTATAATGAATCCATCTGATTTTTCTGGCATAACATTTGAGAGCTGTTCATTCTGGAAAAAAATGGAAGACATCTGTTATGTTACAACAAATTTGAAGGTTTTCCAGACCTCTTGAGGGAAATAGGCAGGTCTAAAAAGAAATTCAGATTTCAGCTCTAGTGTAGCACATAATTTTTTAGTTGATTGGTTTACTTTATACAGAGACTTGTTCTTTTTAATTATATAACATTCAGGTTATTTAAGAATCATTTTTATTTCTTAATTGCAGGTCCTCAGTTTGCTGAAGACCCCTCCCAGTTGCCTTCCACCCAGTTACCATCCTCACCTTTTGGAGACTATCGACAATATCAGTAGAACTTTTTTCCCAGGATTTCTTTAACAGAATGAGCTGTAGTTCAAGAAAGATTTCAGAAGATCAAGTTGCAGTCTGTTTTTAAAACCATCGGTGGAACAACTGTGGCCAAATAGGCTATGAAGAGACATTTAGCACTTTTTTCTATTTAAAGGAACATAGAGGGGGGGAATAAAAGATGCCACATTTATGTATTCACACTCGGATTGCATTTGTGATCAAAATAAATATCTAATGTCCTTAAAAGAAAATATAATAAGTGCTTAGAAGATGAAGGACCAAAGGGCAAATAACAGTGGAACATGACCATCATTTCCTTAGGGACTTCTCTGCCTGGTTTTATGTGTTCTATTATTCAAACAATAAAAAGCTCCTGGAACTTACTCTTTCTTTTAAGATAAATTATAAAGTTCTGCCTTTTCATACTGAGCATATTTCAAATAATGCATGTTTTATACTCGTCCCTCATCTCACTTGAAGTGAATTATGTATAAGAAAATTATGCAGAGTCGACATGAATCATTTCACAGTGAAATGCTTTATGGATTGAAGGATATGGTAACTATCTTTTACTTTGAAAGTAAACTATGCTGTCTTGGTTTTGAGGATGGTGGGTACAAGACTGTTAACTTTAGGGCTACTACGTCCTGATTCCTGATCATCAGAAACCTCACCAGAAACAACTTGCTTTCAATATGCCCAATTCTGTATGAGAAGAATTCATGCAGAGAAATTTTTGGTGTTGTGTGCTTGAAAATAAAATATATGCTGTTTTTAATGTGTTCCAAGTCCCCTGAAGCTGATCTCCATAAGGGGTGTGTTGTGGGGTCTGGTTGGGCCTGGAAATTGTATGAGAGTTTCAGAACAGGCAATTTTCCTGATTTTATTGGAAGTGGCATGTGGCCTTTAGAAGGCATGATGTTAGTAATTGCCCATTTGCCTACTTAAACATCTGCACAAAACAAGACAAATCCATGTGGGTACTGTGAAAACAGTTATTATTTAGTGCAATGCCATACAATAGTGAGCTTTTAATTACTAATTACAGTGGATGATTTAAGGTTTTTAAATTGTAAAATATACATAATATAATATTTATCAGGCTGGAGATATATATCAGTGGTAGAACACTTGGTGTGCACAAGCTCCCGAGTTCAATTGCCAGCATCTCAAAAAAAAAAAAAAAAAAGTAGGACTCTAAGCCTGTTAGGCACAAAGCCCTGGCTGGATTCTATCCCTAGCACCAACATTTATAAGTGTACAATTCCATAGCATCTAAATATGGGCACAGTGGTATTTAACCATCATTACTATGTATACCCAAAGTGTATTCATCACTAACAAACTGTACCCCTTATACAATAACTTCCCATTCTTCCCTCTCTCCAGCCCCTAGTAACCACAATCCTGCTTTGTCTGGATTTGTCTTTTCCAGGTAGCTTATTATAAGTGGAATCATACAGTATTTGTCCTGTGTCTTAGTTCACTTAGCATGTTTCAAAGTCCATCCATAATTGTGGCATATGTCAAAATTTTTATTGCTGGGTTGGTGGTGCATGCTTGCAATCTAGTGACTTAGGAGGCTAACGCAGGAGAATTGCAAGTTCGAGGCCAACCTCAGCAATTTAGCAAGATCCTGTCTCAAAATTTAAAAAGGCTGGGTATGTGACAGTGGTGAAGCACCTCTGGGTTAAATCCTGGGTACCAAAAAAAAAAAAAAAAATTGCATTTTTACGAATGAAGAATACTCCATTGTATGCGTGTATCACATAATGCTTATTCATTCATCTGTTGATCACTTGAGCTGTTTCATCTTTTGGCTGTGATGAGTTACACCACTACAAACGTTGGTGTACAGAAGTCTATTTGAGCCCCATATTTTCAGTTCTTTTGGATCTTTACCTAGGGAGTGAGATTGCTAGGTCATATGATAGTGCTATGTTTAACTCTGAGAAAATGCCAAACTGCTTTCCACAACGGCTGTACCATTTTATATTCCCAAGAGTAATGCATGAGGGTTCCAGTTTCTCTACATCCTTGCCAACACTTGTTCTTTTCTTTTGCATGTGATGCTGGGGATCAAACCCAAGGCTTCTCGCGTGCCAGGAAAGCATACTACCACTGAGCTACATCCCAGTCCTCCCTTTTTCTTTTAAGGTAGCCATCCTAATGTTTGTGATGTGGTATTTCATTATGGCTTTTATTTGCATTTCCCAAGAGACATGATCCTGAGAACTGTCATGTGTTTATGGGCTTCCTTTTTTTTTGTGTGTGTGTGTGTGTGTGTGTGTGTGTGTGTGTGTGTGTGTGATGCTAGGGACCACACCCAAGGCCTTATGCCCTAAACCACATATATCTTGTTTGGGGATAATTTGTTTTTAAGTCTATTCCTCTTCAATTTTTAGTCATAAATTCAAGGAGATGCAGTATCAGAAGAGCAGTTCAAACTGCAAATATTAAACTTAAAAGAAAACACTTAAGGTTTCCTAAATTCCTCATCATTGTTTAAATGGTGCAACAATTTGGAAAATTCCTTTCATATGAATTCTATTTCTTTGAGGCTTTCATATGAATTCTAGTTCTTTGATGCTGGTGTGTTTTTACCATTTTATTGGTTAATTCTGGTGTCCTCAGCCCAGCATATCTAAGAATTCTTTATTACAGGTGAATTTTCTTGAATCAGGGATGGGGTAGAAAGAGGAAGATGGGAAGAGGTGGAAAGGACTTTACATTTTCTCATACCACATGCAGGACAAGTAGGTATAGGTGGGAACTCCTATGGAAATGTTTCCAGTTGTGTTTCCCAGGCTTCCTGTCTCTACCTAGTTGGAGCCTCTTTCCTTTTCTCCTGTGGTCAAGAGAGGGTCCACATTAGAGCTCTACAGAGAGAAATTGGGTAGTTTAGATTCTACGAAATACCCTTTAAAAATACTGATATGAAGTATTTAGTAAATATTCTAGAACTAACTGTAGTTTAGTAGAGTGTGTGATAAACATCAAAATCATGTTGAAATAAATAATTGGAGAAACTAGTAGGTGGGAAGGAGGTTTTCCCTAGATCTTTCCTGGAATAGTGAAGATTTTCAATTTTGGGGTTTCAGCACTCATCAGAAGATCCCATCTGTTTCTCCCTTTCTCTAGCATCTGACTAATGTGAAATTAGCATGTAATAGTGGATTTTTGAGGGAGGGTTTGGAAGAGTGGGTTCAGCTGCACCTGCTCTTGGAAGTGCATCTGATTTCACATATGGAATATCCGCCAGTCATAAAAATGTACTCAGAGCTCCATCCTGTGGTCTGTTAGTTGTAGTTAAAACAGAGTCTAGATTCTGTTAGGCCCCAGGTCAGCAAGCTACACACACTTGTTTTTATAAATAACTTGTTGGAATTCAGACACACCCATTCATGTACACAGCGTTTTGCTGCTTTCTTAGCACCATAGCAGAATTTGCCACAGAGATTCTATGCCCCCAGCCAATACAAAAGTAAGTTGGAATCTCAGGAGATGACGAAATTGAATTTCCTGGTGTCAGGAACCACATTTTAAAAGAGGTACTTGATAAATATTGTCTGAATGAATAAATTATAGGCCAAAGTGTCAACCAATTCAAAAGTCGGATAGGCATATAAATGTAACAAAAATATGTTAAATGTCTAACGTGCCCTCTACACAGCATGAGAAATAAACATTCCTCCTACAGTTGAAGTTTCTGATTTCATTCACCTACTTTCCATAAGAGTTAACTATTATCCTGAGTTTGATGTTTATCATTCTCATGTATTTCTTTTTTTTTAATGTTTATTTTTTAGTGTAGTTTGAACACAATATCTTTATTTCACTTATTTATTTTTATGTGGTGCTGAGGATCGAACCCAGGGTCTTGCACATGCCAGGGGAGCGCTCTACCGCTGAGCCACAACCCCAGCCCTCATGTATTTCTTTGTATTTTTTTATTTTATGAATTTTTTTCTCTCTCCCTTTTTTCTTTCTCCCTATCCTTCCCTTTCCTCATTCTTTTCTCTTCCCTTCGTTTTCCTTCCTGTCTTCTTTCTTGTGCTGGGATTCCAACCCAGGGCTTCTCACATGCTAGGTAACCGCACTGCCACTGAGCTATACCCTCAGCCCAATTGTTTCATTTTGAGATAAATTTAGAATTACAGAAAAATTACAAAAATAGAGTTCTAGTACATGTTTCAGTCAGCTCCCCTGCATGTTAATATTTTACATATCCATAAAATAATTATCAAAACTGCTGGGTGTGGTGGTGTGTGCCCATAATTCCAGAAACTTGGGAGGCTGAGGCAGGAAAATGACAAGTTTGAGGTCAGCCTCAGCAACTTAGGGATACCCTGTCTCAAAATACAAAAAAAAAAAAAAAGGCTGGAGTTGTAGCTCGGTGATTAAGCACCCTGAGTTCAATCCCTAGTACCAAATATATATATATATCTCACAACTAAGACATTCACAGTGGATACATTAACTACAGAATTTATTTGGATCTCCAAGTTTTTCCATAATATTCTTTTTTGTTTGTTTGTTTTAGGATCAAATACAGGATTCCAAATTCAATTAATTGTCATGTCTTCTTAGTTTCTAGTCTGACAGTTTCTTGTTTTTTTTTTTTTTTTGTCTTTTGTGACCTTGATACCTGTGTTAATGGAGGATGGAAGCCAGGGTCTCACTCAATGCAAGTGGTCAACCACTAAGTTACACCCCCAGCTCAACCTTGATGCTTTTTTTAAGACCAGTGCTGTGTTATTTTGAGGTGTTTCTCAGTTTGAGTTTGCTATGTTCTCATAATTAAGATTATACATCATTGGACAGGAAGGAGACAATATGCTCTTCTCAATACATCACAGCAAAGGATAGATGGTATCTATATTTATCACTTGTGATTTTAACTTCTTAAAAATATTTTTTAGTTATAGGTAGATACAATGTCTTTATTTTGTTTTTATGTGGTGCTGAGGATTAAACCCTACTCACATATGGTAGGCAAGCGCTCTACAGCTGAGCCACAACTCCAGCCCTGTGATTTTAACTTGGACCTCTCAATTACAGTGGCATCTTCTGGTTTTCTCTAGTAGTGGAACAATTACTACTTTACCTATGTGATTAATAAATAGTTTTGGTGAAATACTGAAAATATCCTTTTTTTAGCAGGGAGGCACTGAGATATATCCAGCCATTTTTATTTTGAAACAGGTTCACTCTAAATTGCCCAGTCTGGCCTCAAACTTGCAATCCTTCTGCCTCAGCCTCCTGAGTCACTAGGATTACAGCCATATGCCACTTGTGTCTGGCTCAAATATCTTGTCTTTGCTTTAATTTTGCCCACTAATTTTGACATGTGGTGTTCTAATAGTGATTTTTTGTTTATCTCATTCCTTCTAGATGTACTAATTGGAATTCAGCTGCTGGAAAGAATCATCTCTTCTCTCCAATTTGTTTATTTATTTTCTTATTTTTATCAGTATGGATTCATGAGTTTTCATTTAATTTGGAGCTGTAATCCATTACTGTCATTATTTATTTGCTCAGGTTGTTCTAACTCCTATTGGAAACTCTTTCTGATTGACCTTTACCCTTTCAGTGTTGCTCATTGATTTTGGTTTTTGGATCTTAGCACTTCTAGACTTTCTAGACCACAAAATGCTCTAGGCTCAACTTGTATTTTCCCTGCCCAAGTCCTGGAATCTGCCTCTGCAAGATTACTGAAGAATGGAATTTAGATACCAAAATCTGGACGCTAGGTAGGTCCATCACTACTGGAAGCCACTGCT